TTAAAAGTAACTAAGTTGTTTAGATGCACTCATTCGCATGTGTTCAAATTTTGCTCCTTATTTTATTGCCATCTGGGGATTGGCTACTCCACTACCTCTATGAAAGTTTTGTGCCAATAGAAAAGTTTAAGATGATTGTATTAAGAATGTGGATGTATAGGAAAATCTAAAATACTTTAAAATATGGTCAATGTTGAGCATGGTTGGTTTGCCCCAGGTGATGAAGATCTCAGTGAATAGTGAGTAGTGAATTGCAAAGGACATAGCAAACTATGGAGAGGAACTGAATGAAGTTAGGTTCTAAGTAATGGGTTAGGTTTTTTCCACATATGAATTTAAAGCTATGTTATAATTTGTCTATTTAGAGAATAATAAGGAAATATGTTTGGAATATTTACCTGCAAAAAATAATTTTGAGATCCTTGTTCAGATTTCTCTTACAAATACATGCTAACCTGTATTTAGATCTAGATGAGAGTAATTGTGGTATGGGAAGCTTCTAGTCAACAAGATTCAAAGAAGGTCAATATTATTGCCTATTGAATGCAACCTAGCATTTATTTTATGATTTAGCACATTATCTCTCCTTAAGTTCTTTTAACTGCTTTACATAATACTCATGAATATGGATACATTCAATATGAATTACTGAGAGGGAGAACACTTTGGATACTAGCCCATTTGCTAGATGTTACAAAATCTCTACACGAGAGACATCTAGCAAAAAAAAGTATCTTAATTGACTGATGTTGGCAATATAAAGGAGTGCAGTTAAGGAAGAAAGAAACAATTTCTTTCCATGCATAGTTTGGTAATAAATATGTGCCCTTCACAATCCTTGTACTTTATATTCTCCTTAAGTGCTGATTTTCTTTTTTATTAGAAAAAGAAGTTGTGTTAACATTTGAATAGATTATTAATATGTTCCAAATCCCTTTTAATCTTTCTTATAATGTTACTTCCTTTGGGTCTTAGACTACATAAGTCTGGAAGAACTTAAAATGCCTTCCTTTTGCATCGAGGCAGCAAATTGGTCAAAGAAATAAATAACTTCTCTAACCGGTACCTAGAAACTGGAGCTGTTGTTGGAGATTTTTTTTTTTTATACCCGACCTCAGTTTATTTATTCAAAAATATATTTTGAGCTACTTTGCTGTGTTGGGCATTGTGCTTTTGTTTTAGAACTGGAAGTCTGAGATATTTGACAGTTTAAATATGATTAATGTATTAAGAAGTTACCTTGAATGAGATTGGAGTTCAAGGGAACTCAAAGACATAACATGATAATGTAAGAAACTACATCTTGTTTTGATAACATTGAGTCATGAAGACATTTTCTACATCCTTATGACATATGGAATTGAGTTTAAAAGAGATAAAAAGATAGTAATAATAATCTTCTTTCTGTATTTAACTTCAATTGAAGGCAAGGATTTTAATGCTTAGCAAATAATTATTAAATATTCTATTATCTTTATGCCTCAAACAAACTTTCTTGACTTTCCAAACCCTCACAGCAGGGATAATTTCCATACATTCTAAGATTACCAGTACTTACTGGTACTGGAAATGGAAAGCTGATATTAATTTTTGACTAATTTTTTTTACTTTTTATTTCATATTGTCAAGTTTACATCATAAAATATGACTGTCATATCTTCTTATTCAAAGTGTAATACTGCTAGTTATGGAAAATTCAGCATACATATTTTTACTAGTAAGGTCTGTAATAGTTAATATTTAGACATTCAGAAAATGGAAAGTAGTAGATTTTACATTTTGAAGTAAAACATTTACTTATTCTCTATTATATCCACAGCTTATATCTAGGCATTATTTATTTTTTGGAACCAGCAGCAAGCCAATTTTGTTGAAATCACTATTTTTCATCATGGTGTATCCTTAAGATGAACTGCAATCCACAGGATTTATTAAAGGAGTGGCTGAGAACCATGGAGAACCATGAAGTGGTTCACTACATACTAAATATGTAGTGAAAGCCTATTTCAACTAATGGGTGCATTAAAGTCTACTCCTAAAATATTTTAAACCAGAGAGAATGTTAACACATTCAGTGTTTCACTTGCCATGTACCTTTAAAGTCAAAGTACTTCTACTTAGAATGTACCATTGGCATTAGCACCAATATGGCAGTCACATTTGTAGAAACTGAGGCACATTTTTAAGATAAAGTTGAGAATATGATGAAAAAGAAAACACCATCAATAGAGGGAAGACCCTTAAATTCTGGTCTCTGCTCTGTACTAATGTCTTGTGTGTGTGCACGATTGCATATATCTCAAAAATATATTATCTCTTATCTAGTTAATTCATAAATAGAATGAAAAGACTGATTTGTAAACATGGTTAAGATTTCTTCACAACCTAAAACTCACAGATTAATGGACCCAGGGTTTTGTTCATTTTGGCACTTCAGCTTCAAAAAAACTTATACTTCTAGGCCTTTGTGATGAGTCTTCAATATATCAATGTGCCAGTTTGCCATGGTTTGGGTCATTTTATCACATGCGATTATGGTCACAATCTAAGAAAAAGCCCAAATTCACAGTTGACAATCTAGGCAGCATGCTCGGTCTTCTCAGTTCTCTGAGCTCATGAGCATCCTCCACACAAAGTTGGCTTGTCATAACATTCAAGGCTTTTCTGTTTTCAAAAGTAACTGGTACTTTAAACTTGTTAGAAATGCATTCCCTTTAGAGCTCTGCACTTTTTTACAGGCCCAAATATGGTGAAGTAAATACAAATTTATGAATTGACTATTTTAACATGATGAAATGATTGTGACTGAGGTCATTTCCTAATTTAGAAGGCATTCACATAAACATACTATTTTTTGGTACAGTATATAATGAGATAATATGGAGGGACTCTACATTGGGTCAAGTTCAGGGGAGGGCCCTCCTTGGTGGCCCAGTGGGTTACCGCATTGCACTAAGTAGCTAAACCACTTCAGCATGCCACATGGTGTGGCAGACCTCTCCTGACCTGCCCGCTGTTCCCCAGCAGCAGTGTACTTCGTCATTCAGCTGTTCTACAGTAGTGACTCATATGCACTCTATTGAGAGTAGTGTGTGCATAAATATTGACTTAAAAGCAGCTTTCATGTATCTGGGCACTTAATTATTAACTCCTTTACCACAGTGATGGTTCCTTGATCATCTTTATCTCTGGTTAGGGCCTTGCCTGACACAGTATGCCTGTTCAGTCATGGGTGAAGAATGAACCAATGCAGATACCATCTTCTGCTCAAATCCTTTAGCAGACCAGATAGCTCATTCCTTCACAAGGCAATCTGATTGTTGCACATATCTTCTTAACAAATTAAAATTTGCTTCTCTAACTTCCATTTTATATATAAGATTGTAGAATTGAGTTTGGCCAGTGATATATAATAAGACTATTACTATAAGTTACAAAATAGACAAAAATGGATGTCATTAGAATATTCTCATTAGTTTGAAGTTTGTGGCCTGAATGGAATGAAATCATTAAAAATTCCTTAGTGTAATATTTTTCTTAAATAATCCTTAGCATAATATCTTTTCACACATACTATTCTCTGCTTTTATCTAGTTCTTAACCTTATGGAGGAGAAATGCTGTATAACTGCTGGCTCAGGAATGAATTCTCCAAAAACTTAGTGTAATATGTTGTATGTATTTTGGTTATACAGCCCCATGACCATAGGCCATGGTCATGTGTTTTGTATATGAAAAATTATTAAAATAGAATATGAAATATTATCTCCAATTATTTCCTATAGGCTTTAACTGTCACTTCATGGATACAACAAAAAATTACATACTTTCAAAGTATGTGTATTTGTATTCATTTGCCATTCACAAGTATGTACTGAAAATACATGCACATACACATATTGTATATTCTTTAAGAAAAATATTACTTTGTTAGCATTGTTTCTCCTATAGTTCCCTGCATTGTTATTTTGAGCAACTTATATTTAATGATTTGATAATAATTTTGCTTAGGTTTTTTTAGATGAAAGGGCAAGGTTCAAATATTTTGTCTTATCTATTTGTCCCAATGAAAAAGCAAAATTATTTTAATTGTGCAGATTTCAGAAAAAAATTAAATAGATATTATTAAAATTGTATGTATATACACCATTTAAAATTATGATTAATATCTACACATATCTTTTTCCTTTGTTATTTGATATCATTTGTTTTGCTATAATTATATGTTCTCACAATCAGGAAAAACTCTTTCAGATTTTCTTAAGTGTTATTAGGATAATTTTCCAGGTTCTGAAAATTGCAACAAATTAGATATTTAAATACTTAAATAACTTAAGATCATGAAAACAAGTGACTGCATTTGTAAATCAGCTTTGTGAAAAAAAAAAAGGGAAGTCTAATATCTTCTTGGCTAGAATAGTTTTTGCTTCACTATCTTTTTTATTCACTGCCAGAAGAATTCTTCCTTCACAAATGTGGTAAAATAGATAAAAATTTAGATCAAATAGAGAATTATGCACTTTGTTCATCTTGTAGGTCAAAGAGTTCAGAGTTCAGTTACAAGTGATTTTCCATTGTTACATTATGCAAACTTGGAACCAGAGATTATAATATTTAGTGAAAGTATTTCACAATTTAAGATACACATCTTCATTTCCCAAATATATCAAAACAATTGATCAATGTAGAAACAACAATCATATTACAAAATTACATATGGCAACTACAAAGATGTGAAAAAACAATTTACAAATGGTAGCAAAGAATAAATTATTTTTTAGTGTACATAATTAGCTATATACAGGATAATTTAAAAGGACATAGAGTGATTGCTAATGCTGAGAGTTTAAAAATCTCCATCAAAATAAACATGTCACCCAAGAGAAAAGTGATAAAAATAAATCGTGTCACATAAGCAGAATATTGTCTTTCGCCTCATCCTCAAATCATGGATGATCTATCATCAAAATAATTTGCTAAGTGTGCAAATGATGGAAAACTTTAATTCCAAAACCATTTCTCTAAATTACCAACAGATTTATATTCTTGATGCCTTTTTACATGATCACAAGCCAAGCATGCGTGTGACTCCCAAAATCGTGGAAGATTTACAGTGAAATCCTTCCTCCAATTAAAGTAACTAAGATACAACTTATTGTTTTTGTCAAGTTCCTTCAGATACTTTGCTAATTCACTGGGAGAGTTATAATCTTCCACGTGAATGAATGAATCTGCTGGAATATAATTCTCATAGTTTTCCCTAGATGGCCCCAGAACAACAGGTACAGAGCCAGCCCGGAAAGCATTATAGAGCTTTTCTGTGATGTAATCTTTGTGGATTGAGTTTTCGAAAGAAAGATAAAATTTGCAAGTAGATATGGTAGGAATTAAATTTTTATCATTCACATGCTCTCCAAATGCTTGCCCATAGGTATGGATTTCAATGCTTTTGCTTAGCTCGTTGTAATACTTTACCCTGGCATGCTGTGGGTTCCAGTTACTTACGACCCAGCATACTAACTTCTCTTTGCTTGGCACTTCAAACACAAATGGGTTTGTGCTCACCGTCAAAAAGCCATAAGGCACTTGGATGTCTGAGTCGCGGCGGTAAGTCAGAGTCAGGTTGAACAGGTGTTCGATACCATTTTTTTGGGGTGTGTGAGTTGGTGATTCCAAATTCATCCAAATCCATTTCTGGAAGGGTGGTCTAGGCTGCTGAGGTAAATTAGTCAGATCCCAACTGATGTCTCGGTGATGGATCAGAACTGCATGAGATTTGTTGTATAGAGAACGATCCGTTGTGAGGTGGCATCCTTGGATGTTGAACATTGCTTGGCAAGATGTAAGGTCAAAGGTCTGTCCAAATGGCCATACCCAAATCAGGACAGTGGTTTCATTAAAATAATCAGTCTTAGTGGAGAAGAAATTTTTCATCTTCAGCACTGAGCTGGCTGACTCCATGGGACTGAAGATCCAGCTATTGGTGGGCTTGATGTAAATGAGCAGACAGGCCATGAAGCAGACCAGGATAAAACAGACTATCAGAAATGGGCGGAGAATTCCTTTGGATGTTGATGTCATAATTTTTTCTGTGAAAAATAAAAAGAATGATGGAAGGGTAGGTAAAGGTAGATTTGAAGAGTTAGTCGTAAATATAATTTGAGATAAACAAGTTGTAAATCCTAAATACATCATTGCCTTTAATCCTCAAAGTACTCAATTCAATGATGTTTTTATGACCCCTTCTTCATAGATAAGGAATTTTGGGCCAAATATATGGGTAACTAGTTAACAACTAAATTATACTCTTTTCTTGTCTTCTGTAAGCGTCTTTGAACAATTAATATAAATGCCAATAACTCACTGAGGTACATTTGACCACAAGGTTTACTCTCTTAAATTTCTTATTTCTACTCTCATGTTTGCCCTACCACATGAGGTAAATTTAGATGAATTCCTCTTAACGTGAAAAAAACAAAAACAAAAAAAAACAAACCTGAAACGTCTATAGTATTTATTAGTGGCAAACACTGATCTGAACACATTAGCTTATATGGTTATTAACATATCATTCACTATATATGTAAGCATATGTAACATCTCATTATATTCTCATTTTATTAATGAAGAAACAGACACCCAAATGGTTAAGAAAACTGCTCAGGATCATACTCAGTAGACTATATTTGATTCTCAAGGTTGCAAACAGAGAATAAAGTCATCTTATGATACTGCAGTGGAAGTTCTGTAAATGTTTTTTTTTTTTTCATTGCTGTGTCCGCATCATCAGAACACAGTAGGTGCTAAATAAGTGCTATATGTGTTGTATGAATGAATTGGTGAGTTTCTCAGTTCCAGTTATGTGTAATTCAACATACCTAGTAATGAGATACACAAAAATAAACCAAGTGTGACTGGATATATATATATATATATATATATATATATATATATATATATGCGGTTGCTCTCTCTGTGCATTTATTCATGTATTTTAACATATATCCCACTAAAATTGGCATGTAACTATTTCCATGACTAGATAAACAAAATCCCCCAATTTTGCCTCGTTTTGTGGCATCTCAACATTGGCATTTATCTGGTACATTTTAGTCCCATGACTTTTTTTGGCCAAAGGAGAAAGAAATGGTTACTAGGCAGAGAAAAATGTTTCTCCTTCTGTGTACCTTGCAGTGTTTCTGCATCCTGAGCATTTTGTATTACTTGAGGTTTTTCTTGTTAACTCTCTGTACACCCTCTCTTCTCAATTTTTCAATGTTGTTGGGGTCAATTACTAAACAATAAACAATTACTAAACAATAAGCGCTTACTCAGTAACACTTGTTTTGTTCTGATACTGTCAGAAAAGTTTTCTTTTTAGAGCCAAATTGGCATCCTCTTGACAGGAACATTTCACCTAGCCTTCATAACTTAAATTCAGCTGAATACCCAACCCACATGTCTTGAACATCAATATAATCTATCTTTAAAGCACCAACACCAGAGTTAGCAATAACTTTATAGCATAAGCAAATTATAACAGTAAATGAAATAATTAAACCTTCAATTATTTTAATAGTTTCTATGTACAACAGAAATAGAATATACAGACTTTCATTAAAAATAACAGAACCTTTGGTAAACGTATTACTTGATGAGACTTGATATCCATATAATTCTATTTCCCATTAAAAGTCAACATTCAGTCAGATTTTAAGAATAAGCTACTGAGTGTTAAAGAATGGAAAATAACTTGAAATAGGAAGGGTTTGAAATGGAGTTGTGATTCTTAAATCATAAAAGCTCTCGAAGGTATTAAGGAGAGAAATGTGAATCCAGGGAGAACAGGAAGTTTCTTCAAGGGGTGTAAATTCTACTTCACAGTTAAATTTTAGCTCCATGACAGTGTGTGTGTGTGTGTGTGTGTACCTTATTTTAAATGGAAAGAAACAGATTCTACTACAGAATACAATTTAATATTGCCTAAAACTTTAAGATAGAACAGGACAATTGTGTTTGTAACTTGTGACACTTGCGCTTTGCTCCTAGAGTGCAGCCACCATTTACCAATTCAACCCAAGTGTCCATCTGGTATTAGCAGGAAGGAAGGGTTGGAAGAGGTAGTCCCTGTCCCATACAGTCCTTGACAGTCATGATGTGGTCCATTTATTCTTCACTTGTGTGGGCGCACTATGAAATCAAATCATTCCTGATAGGGCAAGACTTTTGATCCTTGGTTAAAAAGTATAAAAGACACACACCACTAGAACAAAACTTTGAATCTACCTGGGGAACTTCAGATAAACTCAGAACAAATTCCAAGGACCAGAATGAAGAATGAATCACTGACAAACTGATAGGCGGACTAAGGTTAAAAAAAAAAAAATCCAACCCATATATTGTCACAGTGTGACTGTTTCTCCATTAAACAATACTGTAAAGTGCTGAATATAATATCTAAACCACAGCCACAGTGTCTATTCTATCTGTTCCCCGTATTATACTCAAGAATGAGAGCCCTCTTCATAGTTGAAACCCTTGCAATAATTGTCCCTCTGATTTCTATATACTTGTTAACATCTTCACATATACAATATCTTAAAACAAAACTCATTTTAATAATGTCTGGGTAAAATATATAAGAAAAAATGTTTAATGAATATGAGTAGGGTCTTTCAATAGCTCATGTAATCAGCCCTTTTACAAAAGCTTTCTACATAAGCAAAATGTTCTTAAAGGATTTGGTAGCAGATGTTCTTTGGTTTAATTAGCTGGCAATCACTCTCCTTCTGATAATGGCACCCCAATTTCCTATTGAAGTATTATCTCCTCTCTCCTATGTACAATCTATGGGATTTCAGGGAACAGTATTTCTCATTTCCTAATCAATGGTGAGCAAGGATGCTAAATTATTCTAACTCTTTGAGACTGTGAAACTTGAGTATATAACAAAATTTCCTTTTTGTTTACATGAATTAGACTGTTTTTATTCCTTCAAAAAATATATAATAAACAGAAAAATGTAACAATCTTAGCCAAGAATAATATAACCTAACTGATTGATTCCTTTCCTATTTTTCTTGCTGCAGGATAGGAAGTATATAACTTGAATCATTCAAAATAATTCCATAATTATCTAGTTAAAAAAACACTTTATATAGTCTCAAAACAGCAAACACTTTTCTTTAAGTCACAGTCTTTACTTAGCACTTAGATATTTGATGATAGGTTGTGAATAGCTGAACTGTTAATAATCTGGCAGGGAGGTTAAGAGAACAATGTGTCCCCCATATTATCATTAAGGTATCTAGCGTCATGATATTAGTAAGGAATTCTGTAAAAGCTGTCTGAGTACTATATCAAATGCTCATTTAAATTTCCCATTTAAAACTATTTTTTTGTTGTTTATTTATATTCTCCCTACAATTTTTATGCTAAGGTCCTTTAAAAGAATACAACTATAAGCCTAGTTTTCTCTGCTTATTACAAAGTATGTTCTGCCTTTTAGTGCTGTAAAATTTGATGTATTCATCACTTCACTTTCAAAGTTTCCCTTGATACTTTCAAATTCCACTGAACCTTCCTCATGGGCATTCCTCCCCTGGGTTCCCACAGTTTTCCCTATTAGATCCTGAGCCAAATGCCCTCTACCTTGGGAGAGATGCCATTTACTTTTTGGCAAGAGGACATTGGTATGATCTCTGGAATGCTATCAATTTTGTGTTTGTGAACCTTCCTCAAAGACCTTTGAATATAATCTCTGGTATTTCGAGGGGTAAAGCCTATTTTAGGTTCTCCAAACCATGGAGAAGTTGCCACCAAAATATTCCAGTTTTGATCTTTTATGTTTTTCCTGAATATTCTTTGGGACCCACTCTGGCACATGCTAACAGTTCCCTGACATTTCTGTAGTAGTTTCATCTTTAGACAACTCAAAGAATGCCATGCTTTCCCTGATCCCACCAAGCTTTTTGTCTTAGACCTTTGTTTCCTTTGTTTGTAAGCTGCCAACTGCCACTTTCCTTGCACCACAAACTTCTTTATATTGGGCAATTTCCACATTCACTCTCTTTGAAATTTTCTTTTCAGTTCAGGGATTAACCTTTTTTTTTAGTTTGATCTTTTATCTTCTCTCTTCTCTCTCTAGTTGTAATCACTCTCTTCAGTGATTACGCAGTCCTTATTCACTTTAGAAGTGTGATTTACTGGCTTCAACTGCAGCCACGGCAATGAGATCTGACACTGAGCCCAAATGTAACTGGGCCTAGGCCCCACCTGCGCATAGGGAACCCATAGAGTAAAAAGGGTGGTTTTCTGGCAAGAATGCCACAGCACACTTTGTCTTCCCTTGAGCCTACAGTGTTTCATAATTTGGCTGTCAGCACTAGTGCTTTCTATGATTATTGTGAGATTTTTACTCAGAGTGGTCAACCAAAAAAGATCAAAGGAGCCTTTAAAATAAAATCTCTCACTTCGGGCTGATTGCTATCCTCCTGACCCTTGAGATTAGAATTCCTTCTATCCATACAGCAAAATAGAGCAATTAATATATTGGATTTCTCTTTGACATTTCTATCCTTCACATTCACATTTACCCTGGCATCTCATCCTGCTTATTTTGCCTCCTAGATAATTCTTAGTTGACTTCTCTCCATTTTCCAAGTCAAACATCTGTCACTTCATATATGAAATACTTATATTGGTTTTTATGTGGTCCATCTGATGCCCATTTTGGGTTCTTCCAATATATCACAATTGGTAGACCAGTCATTTTCAAAGTCAGAGGTCAGATGCCCCAGTCAGAGGCATCATTGACACAACCACCTGGGACACTACTAAAAAAGCAAATTCTCCTGCTGTAGCCCAGACAAATGTAATTATGCCTTCAACAATCCATTTTAAAAAGTCACCCAAGTGATTCTGACTCTCTCTGAAATTCAGTAATCCCAGCAGTAAAGTGATCTCTTCAAGCCATAAAGCACATGCGACCAGCCTGGAAAAGACCATTCAATGAATTCCAATTACTTGTAAGATAAAAAGTCAATGCGGCAGCCCTCCCTGGTGGCGCAGCAGGTTAAAGCACAGCACT